GCGTATAGAACTGCCTTATTTCTTGGTACTCGTGCGGCAGTGATATGGTCTCTGGACGGTGTAGTGGGGGACAGAGTACCTTCCAGCAATGTTTGCTCCTTAGCCTTGTACTATTCAACATACAATAACAACAAAACACAACCTCCAATTCGACATACCCTTTACCCCATGGCATACCTGAGTTTCCTCCATCAGGAAGACACCCCGATGAATACACGTGCCTTGAGCACGGAGATGCAGTAAAATTGTTCCTGGAAATCAGCATATGTTTTGAACCCCAACAGACTCCAGTCCATTACTATATTCAGTTTAGCCCGTGCTCCCAACTCTGTTAAGGGGCGTTGAGCTAATTGTGTGTGTGTGTGTGTGTGTGTGTGTGTGTGTGTGTGTGTGTGTGTGTGTATTCCCCCGGGGCTGTGTGCACTTCTCCCTGGTTGTGGTCCCTAACGTCTTGACGTGGAATTGTTAGTCTTGCACTCTTCTGTTGTCCATGTTGAATTCCTCTCCTATTCAGAGACAAATGCCTTGGAATAAATGCAGCGGTGGCCCATGCCCTCCATGGTAGTATTACTATTTTAAGAACATGTAACCATTTATCTGTTTTCTAGTGATTCAGTTTGCCACCATTGAAAATCATGCTGCCTGGACATCCTACATATTGTGCCTGTAAGAAAGAGATCTTTATAGTGCAGTTGCTGAGTTCACAGCTTTTATAAACAAGCCACTAAAGCTACTATACTAGTATCCTAGGGCAATTGCAACAAATTACTACAGATTTAGTGGCTTGAAGCAGTAAAAAAAATGTATTCTTTACTCTTCTGGAGGCCAAGTGCAGGTTTTCACGCTCAGCTGGGCTCCCAGGAGACTGTTCCAGGCATTGTCTAGCTCCTGGTGGCGGTTGGCATTTCTTGGTATTCTTTGGCTTGTTATCACCACTGTACTCTGCTTCTGATATAGAAAACCCCCCAAACTGCTTGAAGGAATTGATACAGAACCCCAGAACTGTTGACCTATTGCAAATAAAGCCATCCATGACACCAACCCTGGAAGAAAGGAGGTATTGATTGCATTGTGCAGAGTGAGAAGCCAGGCTACTGTGACTTAACTCGTAGGATTCCCAAGGGATCTGAGTGGAGGCTGTGACAGTGTGAAGCTCAGATGGAGAGGTCAGTGTTCAGGGCATGGTCAGGTGCCTGGCTGATTGATCATGGGCATGGCCTTGCTTTGACTGACACTCACAGTGTCATGTTATGTAGAGACTTTTGTTGATGCCAAAGAAAGATTCAGGCAGTCTAGGGACTACATGCATCTGATAGTTACTTTTTATTTTGTGCCTGGAATTCCTGGAATACAAATCCCCTAGGAAAAGCCTGCGCTTTAAAAATATTCTCTATAGGGAAAATAAGTTACCTCGAGTCCTGTGATTGGAAGCTTTGTGAGGCCCACTGCACCATTCCCTCAGCTGAGTGAATTAATTTTAGGAAAGGCTTGATTTACAATCAGAAAAACTGGGTGAGAAAACTGAGCCGAAAGAGGGAAGCCAGGAGGGTGGGAGAGCAGGGCCTGTTGGTACACTGTGCATCCAAGGCAGTGTTACGGGCTTGGTTTCACTTCCTTTTTTCTGTCACCACCTCGTCTCTGTTTTGTCTTTTCTCTAAGGCCCTGTTGCTTTGCGTTGTCTTCAAAAAACTTGTTATTACATTTCGAGTTCACCTAAATAGTCCAGGATAAAGATTGTCTCTCAAGTTCCTTGATTATATATATTTTATCATATATAATTATATAATAAAATATAATAGTATATTATATTTTAATATATAATCATATTTTATATATTATACATTGTATATTTCATATATTATAGGTTATATTATATATCATATTATGTTATATGTTACATGTTTTATATACATACATATTTAGATACATATCATATACATAAAATTATATGCATATTATGTACATATTATTTATTCATATTTATAGACATATTTATATATTACATATATTACCATGTAAGATAACATTACAGGTTCTGGGCATTAGGGCATTAAGTTGGGCACTACTACCACTCAGTTTACTATACTTTCAACACATTTTAAAAGTATAATATTAGAAATTAGGGGAAGTGATTGTTATGGCAACTCTATTTCCAATTCTTCATATAGGTTCCATGGTTTTTATTAATTAGTCTCCGACACCAGCCTGGCTATTTGAATGTCTCATGATTGGCTGTAGCCAGAATGTCCTCAAGGGCTCATGCCCTTGAACTTTTTACTCTATAGAACTCTGAGGTAAATAAATCTCTGTGGCTTACATTCGCTAAAAAGCATTTTTAGTTTGTTTGACCCTTATTAGATGCAATAGTTTGCATCTAGGCATTGTTTTTTTTGTTACATTTTATGGACCGTGAGCTATCGATACCTCTCTTGTCTAGACCTCAGAGTAAATAAGCCAATAGAATTTAAGAGTTGGTTCACTTTGAAGAATAAAAAAGCATCCCGCGATTAGATTTGCATTTAAATTCAGCTACCAGCTAGAAAAGACAATGTTTGGCTCAATTGAGTTCTTGTTATAATATTGGATGAAATGTCAGCAAACCATAAACATTGTATGTTAATTTGACTTGACTGTATCCCTTTATGTAACAAATAGGAAACAAACAAACAAAAAAGAGTAATTGGTCATTCTTTGAGGAACCTGCTAATTCGTACAGGTGAAGACACTGCTGCTTCATAGGCAGGTGAAGAGAGCAGCTCATGCCTTAACTGCGAGCTCCCCAGAGGGTTTTATGGAAGCGTCAACAACATGCTAACACTCACTGATTTTATTTGAGATCTCGATTGCTGAGTAATTCTTTTTGGGTTGTGTTTTGAAACATACAATTCTGGGTGGCATCGATTATTGATAAAGTCGCAGGCCTCTGCACGCATCCTGCCACATGCATTGTTGATAGCCACGTGGAGCAACCGGATGACTTCAGCAGCCATCAAGTCATTCTTTTGGCAAAAGTAGAATATCACCGTGAGTAACCAGATCTAATGGTGAACTTCCAGAGATTTGGGGGAACAGCTATAGTTTTTAAATTCCAAAGAGCAGCTTATTAACTTGCTTAAAGATATCTATTTATTTATTCATTGATTGATTCATTTATTTAAGAATCAGAATTTTGATTGAAAAATACATGTTAAAAAAAAGAGAATGAGAACATTTATAAAAATGTTAAGCCTGGAGTTTTCCCAAAGGGAAAAAAAACTAAACACTAGAGGTTTTTAATTGTACAGAGAATAATCAGCCTACAAGTTGATCTGTTCAAGTGGAATCAGTAATAGTGGCCTTAATAAGAAGTCTCAGCGTGGCTTTTGCTGTGTAGTGGAATTCCACTTTGGAAAAATCATTTTGTATCTCTGATCCTTTATGCCTTCATCAATAAAGTGTGATTCATAGCACAAGCTTCTGTAAGTTCATGGGATTATAAAAATCAATTAATTGAATGCACTATGGCATTGCTTTTTTTCCATTATACTCTCAAACAAGTGAAACCAATAATAAAATACATGATGTACCGCTGAAAAGCAACAATGAGACCACAGCAAAACTTCCAGCTACAAAACCAGAATGCACACTGCATTTATGTATCCGCATCAATGTGTTTAAAATACATTGTGCCACTTTAGCATGTGTAGGGGAAAGAGTGTAAGGTAGGTGAATACAAGAAGAATCTTCCTGTGCCATTTGTGGACAACATACAAGAATATGAGTTGGTAATTCCTGAAGAGCTTCTCCAGTTAAGCAGCAATAGGAGAGTCTGATCAGATATGCCTCAGGCCCCTCAGAACTTTCCCCTGAACCTGAGAAGTTCTTTGTACACAGAGGAAATGAACACAGAATGTGTCTTCTCAATGAAGAAGGGTTTTCTGTTTTGGATTAACAGTGTAATGGGGGGGAAGGATGGGTGATGTAGCCATGCTTGAATTGCTTACCTGTGCAGGTTCCTGAGGTTCCTGGGGGGACCTGGGCCGTTGTCAACCTCTTCCTGTTGTTATCCCAAACACAGGAGTCCCACTCCCTGGGAACTCTTCTTCCCTGAATTCCTCTCAGTTTCTCAGATTGTATTCCTGACTTTCCCTTTTTTTTACGTGTCTTCATTTCACAGGTCTCCAGTTCCTCAGTGACCTGGGTTTGGGTTCCACCTTCTTCATCCTTTCAGACAGACCACACCTCACATACACCTGCTACCAACCTGTCTTGGTCCAGCACTTTTGGTCAGATGGCCATGGATGCAATGCATGCAACTGGGCATTTAATCTAGGCAAAGGAAGGCTTGGCCAGTACAAAAGAAACTCTGAAGTACTAGATTCTAAGTACTATGTTCATATTGAGGTTAAAATAAAGATATTTGATACATTAGAAATTTAGCATCTTCATGTACACTCCCCAACTCCCAGCTGTATCCTAAATCAGAAGACCGCTAAGTCAACTTCTTGTTTTCCACCCAATCTTACTCATTGTAAAACTTTATTATTAATAATATGTGTGTCTAACAATCTCATTTAAACTTTATTTATATTTACATTGTTCATGAAGTTTAGCTTAATCAAATTTTAGAAAATATTTTTGAAGCAGGAAACTATTTGATTGGCAGCTATTTATTTTAAGATTCAAATTTTTGTTTATATTTTACATTTCATTTTTTTTTCCCCCGCATCCATTTGGTCGTTTCAATCCTTCCTTAGTTGTTCCGCCAGTAGATTTACAAAGATAAGTATATATTTAAATATGTACATATACTTGCTTGTAGCTTCACATCACAAATGTATGGGTGTGTGCATATATACATATATCCACATGTACATCGACATTTAGCTTTAGTCAGTATTAAAAGCTGGTCACAATTTACTGGTATGAGTTAAAAGGTAGTGGCTGTAAGGTGACTTGGGGGAACTTAAAGATTTAGTTAATTATACATGAAACTAACAGTTGCTTCTCTCTTTCTGTAGGTAATCAACGTGTGCTCTACCTCTTTTCCTGTGTACTGCCTTTCCATATCATCTTCAAGCAATAGTGACTACAGTAATTAAAGAAGCCACATTTAAGAAAAAAAATCTGTTCAAGAAGACATCTGTCGATAGGTACAATTATATTATAAATTCCTCTCTTTTACTATTCTTCCTAACAAGGTGTTGTAGTTACAGATTGCATAAGATTTGTGCACATGAAAAAGAAAATGAAGCCAATGAGTGTGATTGAATTGAATATTGATCAGTTCAGTAGCTGCTAATACGGAAGAGTTGAAATCTTGGCAACATAATTTTCTAAGGTCCAATTTGTTCTAGATCTTTTTTTTTTATTGAGTTATAAGATTTAAGATGTCACTTTATGTGAAAGAAGCAAAATAGGTAGCGTAAGTGTGTTTTATCTAAGTAAACAGCTTCTACAACAATACAAGGCTAATTCAGAGCACAAACGTGTTCTTTGGGCTATATGTGTTTAAAATGGTACGAATTTAGACCGTAGTAAAAATCATAATTTCTAGGGACCAGTGCAGTAGCCTAGTGGTTAAAGTCTTGCCTTGCATGTGCAGGGATCCCATATGGGTTCTAATCCAGGTGGCCGCACTTCCCATCCAGTTCCCTGCTTATGGCCTGGTAAAGCAGGAGAGGATGGCCCAAAGCCATGTGGGAGACCTGGAGGAGGCTGCTGGAAGAGTTTCCTGGCTCCTGGCTTCGGGTCAGTGAAGCTCTGCAGCTCCGGCCGTTGCGGCCACTTGAGGAGTAAATCAACGGATGGAAGATCTTCTTCTCTGTCTCTCCTCCTCTCTATATATCCGACTTTCCAATAAAAATAATAAAGAAAATCTTTTTTCGAAAAATCACAATTTCTAGGCAATTATCCCAAAGGCCAAAATTAAGACAGAAAAAGTGCAGTGAGGCCTTTAAGCCTCATAGCTATTTCACTGTTGACTATACGGCAGAAACTAGTTTATCGCATAAATGCTGTTTTTGGTATTCAGCATACTTCTACTTGCTTTGAAATATTTAAGCTGTAATAAAGTGGGATGTTAAAGGAAAATGACAAAATTTGAAAGTGTGGATATTCAGATTCTAAGAAGCTGTTTTCTGTGTATTTCATCCGTACTTACGTGCCCTCTCTTCTTTCTTAAATACTGGCCGTTTTAAGAGACACTATTTTCAGTGTTCATGGATTGTAAATCAGGTTCCAGAGGGCCAGAGAGAAGGCGGTGTTTCTTGAAATGGAGAGATGGATATATGGGAAATTTTTCTGTCCCCCCCCTCCAATTATGCTAATGACAAAAGGAGACTGTAAATATACCAAAATAATTCTTAACAAGGAATGGCACTTTTGGATTCAATTTAGCAATTTTATTCTCCAGGGAATATTAACCGATCAAAGTGTCCTACCCTAATGCCCATGATGGACTGCTGTCTGTCTTACACACAATATTGTTCTGTGCTGAAAGCTTTCGTTGCATATTGTACCTACTGTGCCCTTGGAATTATTGGTAGGCTTCTAATATATAAATGTATCTCTTAGAAGAAACATTTTCAATGATTTCCCTACTGTTTCAGAAAATCCTACACTTTGGGTTACTTTGATCCATTAGCCTAGGGAATATACTAGAAGTGTTAAGGTTTCCTTTATTCTTTCTTTCGCTCCCTGCCTTTTTGCTGTCTCGTTTATATTATTTTGAGAATCAATGATGATTACTGAAATCTACTTACTGACATTATAATTTCATTGAGACAACCTTCTTAATATCTCCGAGATTAATGTCATTTACAAACTGAAAAATACATCATCAGGAGTTTTTCAGAGAGTAAACTGAACAAATATGCTGTAATGACAGAATGTAAGAATTTATTTAGCATGGCAATTGCTCAGTCTTCATTGAGTCAGATAACTTTAGCCATTTTTATGTCCTAGAGATTGTATTATATAGCATCATATTTTTAAATGAGTAGGCTAAGAAATAAATAATCTGAGCTTTTGAAACTAATCCATACATAATTCATATCACTGTATCATGATTCAGGATTTAAGGGCCTTCGTGTGTGCGTTTAGTCAAAGAAAGCTTATATTTTGTTGTATATTTTTGGAAAAAAATCGAAAGGATTTTCATTTACAATTAAAAAAATTTTTGAAATTAGAAAACACTTAACATTCCCAATACAGCAGTTGAGGTGTTTGTTATTTTTTACTCTGACTCCTTCTAAAGCATTAATTTGAGATGGCTTTCTAAAAAAATTTTTTTTCAGTACCTGAATATACAAGTAGAGAAAACATTTTCTCAATCAACTATGGTGGTAAACAAGGTTTTACCTGATAGCTTTAAGTTCTGATTTAAATTTGCTACATGATTCCATATTGCAGCAGAAGTGTATCTGCTGGAAAAATATGCTAATGGGGGCGATTAGTAAAAAGTCACAATGTACATAGTTGATATTCACAATTATGAGTCTGATTTATAAGATTATAATATTTTAAGGAATCAGAAATACAGGGATGTAGAAAACTAATGAAAATATGTAGAATATTTATAATTAGTGACTGCTAGGGTAGTGTGATTGCTTGGTTAACTTTCTGATCTTCTATTACAGAGGTAACTAAACTGAAGTTCTCATGCTATTGTGTAAATAAAATTTTACTGGATCCCAGCGAGGCTTTTTGTTTGGTGTGGTTTTAGTATTATCTTTGGTTTCTTTCGTCCTAAAGCTATGAAGTAGAGTAGTTGGAAGAGAGACCACATGGCCAAGGAAAGGCTAATAAATGTATTGTCTGATCCTTTTGAGAAAAGTGTTGCAAACTCTTGCTTTATGTCAGTGTTATAAAGGAGAGAACGTATTGCTGTTACTCCCGTGTGAAAGTAGCAGGACAGACTGCCTTGTGTGTCAGTATGAGCCTGGAGCACGCGCTTCGACATGAAAAGTGGAGCTGCAGGATCTCACAACCAGGTGGAATCTGAAAAATAAATAAGTCATGGATGCAGAAAATGCAAGCACAGTGCTTACCAGGGCTGAGGTTGGCTGGGAAATCAGTAAGAGGTTTTTGTGAAAGGGCCCAAAACGGCAGTTATGTAGGGTGCTACAGCCTGGAGTTCTAATTTCAAGCAAAATCATATAGTTATAAGATATGATTAATATTGTCTATATATATATACACATATATGTGTGTGTGTATATATATACTAGGTATTGGCTGAGAGTTGGTTTCTAGTGTTCTGGTAAGAAAAAGGAAAATAATATTTAACAAAAGCAAAGTGGTAACTGTGAGGAGATAGACTGATTTCTCAACAAAACCACATGACATTCATCTGATTGAAACCAATTCATTTCTATTAAAAACACACACAACAAAAATCTGTCATTCATAAAATGATAGATAGCACTAGTTTTGGAAGTACATTTAAATGACTTCATTCTTGGAGCTGACTTTGTGGGTTAAGCCGCCACAAGTAATGCCAACATCCTCCCTGGGCTCCAAACTGAGTCCTGGCTGTTTCACTTGTACTGTGGTTCCCTGCTCATGCACCTGGGAAAGAAGCAAAAGCTGGTCCCAGTACTTAAACCACTGCCGCCCATGCCATACAGGAGATCTGGATGGACTTCCAGGCCCTTGGCCTTTGGCCTGGTCCTACGCACGGCTAGTGCAGCTATTGGGAGAGTGAAAAAACACCTGGAAGATCTCTTTCTCTCTCTCTATCTTTCCCTCTCTTTTTGTAATTCTGCTGTTAAAATAAATCAATAAGTATCTAAAAATTAGCTTGATTCCATAAAACCATACAAATTTTCACTTTTAGATTTAGAAAAAGATACAGTCTGAGATAGTTCTCACATTCTCAGGTATGCAAAGTGGAAAAGTTCTAATATGTGCTTACTGCCTAGTCTCCATAATTCATCAGACTCAATACGTATTCTTTCTAAACGTTGCATAGAAAATAACGGAGTAAATCTTTTGGTATAAGAAAGTATTTTATTTAAAGAGGTGTCATTTTGATTTTCTTTGTTTAAGAAATAAAATCCAGATGACTTATTTTTTGACCGGTTCAGGTGGAAATTTTTGTATTAAAAAAAATACTTTCAGCTTTGAACCCATAAGATTCAACGTTATATTTCTTACCTCAAATGTTTCTGTGTATTTTTTGATATTGTGAATTTTAAAAAATGTTAAAAAAAATCCATAAGAATTTGTTGTCAAGAAGTACAGTGTTAATAAGTAGCGAAAGGTTTCAATTGTTTTTTTTTTTTTTTTCTTTTAAGGTTATTTCAGTTTCAATCAGAAGAGCAGAAATGCCACCGATGCCGAGTGGGCCCCCACTTTACCCACCTCCTGATGGGGGCTGGGGCTGGGTTGTGGTGGCAGCGGCTTTTATCTCCATTGGATTTTCATATGCATTCCCCAAAGCCGTCACAGTATTCTTCAAGGAAATTCAGGAAATATTCCACACAACCTACAGTGAAATAGCCTGGATCTCGTCCATTATGCTAGCCGTCATGTATGCTGGAGGTAAGGCTCCCTTACTGAGTGATGATCTGAGTTAAGAAAACCATTGCCTCATTTCACATTGTGGGGTCTTCTGTATTACCATCCTCATTTCACATCAGGTTCGCTTACCGCCACTCAAAAATATAATTGAAACTCAACTTTTCATGATTTTAATGGCCCTACATCTTGAACTATTCAATTCATTTTGAGTCTGAACAGTATTTGGTCACACAAGCCAACATTTTAGCAAATGTGATGTGGTTTTAGTTGAAAAAAAAAAAAGCTACACAATACTGTTGGATTCATTACCTCCTGTTGCTACAGGTAACTTCAGTTGCGGAATTTATAAGCCCAGAAAGTCTTCATGTTAAAGTAAAACTCTGACGTGTTATCATGTACACCCCGGACTTGCGCACATTTGTGTCATTGAAGTCATTCCTGCTCTCCACAGGACTCAGTAAACATGCTGTCTTGGTATTTAATGGTTGCCTGACCGTTATCTTGTTACATTCTGTGTTCAAGGGAGTGTATGGGTCAGGACATAATGAATACATCAAAATACCATCACCTTTCTGAAAGCTAGAGAGATTATTATATCAGTTTTCTTTCAATCAATTTCAACAGCAGACCAGATTGTTATGTGGATTTTTAACACATCATCATGTAAAATATACGGATTTTAGAGCTAACCTCTTCTCACCTGGATCTTGAAAGGATAGGTCTCCATTCGGTTTGTAAGAATTTCAAGACATAAACTTTCCAGTGTGTCACTGTATAAACAGGGGTAGTGAGGCTCTCACTGACGGGGATGTACCATTAGCAATGACATCCCTTGCTCGTCAGCATGTGTACTCCAGGGGCCTGATCCCGGGCAGGCTCTCTTAGTGTCCTTGCCACTGTCATACCATGACACGTGTGCTACCCTCATGACTGTTACTTGTCCTGTGGCATGAAAATAATTATTTAAGATATTCTTTCTTCATTATACTTCATAAGAAAAAAAAAATGATCCTGAAATATCCTTGTGTGTATGTGTTACTGTTGATATGTTTTCTACTTTGGGATTGTTTATCTACATTAATCCAACAACATCCCCCTTACTCTTTTGATTAGAATAGATTTATATTCAGTATCAAAAGTTATCTTTAAAATGCTGTTCATGCATGTCAATGAAAAATTTGTTTCTAAAATGCCTCTGGGGAATCACTTTGTCACTTTAAGGATGTGAGAGTATTGCTTGAAAATTTATTTATATATTTATTTATTTTACTTGATTTGAAAGGTAGTATGCGTGTGTGTGTGTGTGTATAAGAGAGAGAGAGAGAGAGAGAGAGAGAGAGAGAGAGAGAGAGAGATGTATGCCCAGTCCATTAGGTCACTTTTCAAATGTCTGTAACAATCAGGGTTGTGTCAGGCCAAAAGTGATTAGAACTCAATCCACGTCTCCAGAATGGGTGGCAGGTGTCTAACTGTTGGAGCCATCACCTGCTCATCCCAGAGTAGACCTTAGTGGGACAGTGGATGAAGAAGAGTCTGGAGACTCACCCCTAGGCACTCCAGTATGGGATGATGGTGCTTCAAGTAAAGATTTCTTAAACTCTACACCAAATCCCTGCCTGTGCAGTGATATTTTTTCATGTAAGCAGTTTCTATTGTTGCAGAATGTCTTGTTCTTCTATGCTGCACTTTAGGTACTCTTTGAACTTAAATCTCACAAGTCTTAATATCAAAGGAGTTCTTCCCTCTTAAGCACTCTGTAACAGACTCCTCTAGTGAATTGATACAGGTTCACTGAGTTTGAACTTCAGGTCCCATACACAATTTCCTGTTTAGTGGCTAGTTGATCAAATCCTAAGTAAAATAAAATTTTTAGGTAGTTTTCTAGTGAAGCCAAGTCTTATTTTAGTGGTTAATAAAATGGTTCAAAAACAAAATCAAGCTTCCACAGACCATCACAGAGTGATGGGTTTGAGTCCCAGCTGCCGATTCTGGCTTCCTGCTAACGTGTGCCCTGAGAGACAAGAAGCCAAGTCGGCCCTCACACTGGCCCAGTTATGGCTGTGCCCGGCATTTGAAGGGTGAATCAGCAGATGGGAGCTCTAAATATATCTGCCTGGGTTATGTCACTGTAAACGAAAATGCTTTATTTTAAAAATATTCAGATTATCCTTCTAATATTTAGAGGATCTTTGCTTATAGAAGCCTTTTAGATTGATGATTACAAAATAAATTCAGAGATGATGGGGTGAAAAGGCATATACTTGATTATGAATCATAAGGATTCCACCAAGCAACTGAACTATTTCGTTCACCATAATGCTAATTATATTAGCCTGGAGAACTTTTAAGATCTGGCAGACTCATTAGGGCTTAGCATGCACCCTATTAATCACTGCGGTGGGGTCACTGAGTAAGATGGAGCATGCTCTGAGTCCTGGCCTCCGATGTCAGGCCTGAAATCTCTTGTAGTAATTAGTTGGCATCTGAGCCGTGGCGGTAAGGTATTGTCTTCCATTCAGATGTCTGAATGAAAAAAAAAGAAAAAGAAGAACATTAATTAAGATATACAGGAAAGAGGCGAAAGAGTGAAAATTATGTTTATACCTTATTTCATCCTTAGGATAATGGCATTAAATTGTAGTGGCCCATCTGGCTGTCCATATGGTATCCTGGAGTTCTAAAAAATTTCAACAGAGAGGTCAGGCAGAGTGGCCACCCTATTAATAATGCAGTAAGTAGAGGTAGCATGCACGTTGTAGTTTAAACTCTGAGTCATCGAGGGATTTAGTTTGTAAACAGTGTGTTCAGATGATTGTCTTTCAGTGCAATGTTTGTCCTTGTTATTCCGTTGCAGGATGATTAGCTTCTAAGCATGGTTAGCCAAGTCACCACTGAATACAGATTTCTTGCTACCAATCGCTATATGAGTATCTCTTGTGATTTTTTCTGGTAATAACTGTTCTAGCTTGGAAGAATCACCCATTGTGGAGAGCAGAGTTGGCTTTGTCTCCATGGTAACTTATTCTTTTATGTGAGCTGTACCCGCCAGTTGTGCTACAGCAGGGCTGATGGTTTTCTGTTGGATCACTTTCCACGGGGATCAATCAACCATGAGAACTTTGGAGCTCACTTTATGGATGCCAAGAAGCAGAAGTTTTTAGCATAGCAGTTGAGTGCCCATAATATACCAAGTGCATACTTATATTCTTCTTTAACTTTGCATAAGTTTACCTTGCCTTGCCATTCTACTTTCTACTCTGAACATTTTTTCAGACTCGGGGAGATTATTAAATGCATTCACGTAGTAGCACATCTTACTGGCAATTGAAAGCTTGTTCCATTCCTGTGTTTGAAATAATAAGAGCTTTTATCATAGCTTTGCACAAACCACATTTAAGTGTTCCTGTGTATTTCTCAGCTTCCCTGCCCTTTGGTTGAGGCCAAGTGACCAATGCTGACCAGTGAAATGGGAGTGGAAGTGTGCAGTCAGCCCTGGACATCCGCTGGACTAGGCAGTGGGAGTTGCTGTGCATCTTCCGCTTCCCTCTTTTGCTGCTCTAATCTGCTTGCCTAAGACGTGGCTACAAGGGGAATGACCCATCTATGAGTTTGAACAGATAAACTTTGAGTTTCTGAGAACTTTTACATAGAAGCGCTACAATACCGTTACAAGCATGGAGGCTTTGTTTTATAGCTGCAGTGCAATTCTGTAAATTATTACATGGGGACGAGAACAGACTGAGAGATGCTTACAGTCAGTTTAGCTTACCGCACTTGTGTATGTGCTACATTGTCAGATATATGCAAGGGAGGAAGAGGGGAGTGTTAGTTTCCAAAGGGAGAAGGGGCTGTTAAGGTGATAGCAGGTCTGGTTTCATGGGCGAGATAGGCACATCACAAGAGAGAAGACAGCGGACGGTGCTCACCTTTGTCTGAAGAATTTAAGGAAAGAAGGCAGCAGAGATCAAGGGAAGACTGGAGAATGTGCACGCCACTACAGCTCTTCTAGGGAGCTGCTTCTTGAGAAATGATTGACAATGTAGTGCAAATTCTGTCTAAATACTATTTTCAATGGAAGATTTAAGGGCTTATATTGAAATTCTTTCTGATGGATCTATATGCCTTAGACAGTGAACCTGTCACTGATTTATAAAAATAATCTGTTTACTAACTGGTAACCTGGTAAGAATAGGAATTTGGTTCTTGGGTCTTTTCCTTCTTTTTGGCTAAAAATCCCTCCAAAATAGGTTATTTTATCAATATGTACTATATGCAGGTGCATTATGTTTGCAAATGAGAGAAACCTGATTCAAATGCCCTCGAGCCTGCAGGGAAATGTTCATGCATACAAATCAGAGGAATACAGAAACCAGTGTTTTCCAGGCCAAATAGCATCAGTGAGTCTATTGTTGTGGCGTATGGTTCTCTATCCTCTCTCTTTGGGTTTCTCCAGAGGTTGGTTAGCTTTGTGGCCTCAGCGTTGTGTCTCAGCTTCAGATTGGATGCAAGGCAGACTTTCCCTCTTCCCTAAGTTACATTCTGATAAATCCAAGGGCTCAGAACCCAGGATGCTTTGCATGTGCTCTGCAGGCCATGGACCGGCAGAGACAAGCCCTGCAGCCTCAGCTGAGTGTATTTCCTAAACATTAAGTTATCAGTTCCCCATGGAAGAGGATAGGGAGGATACCGAGGAGTGAAGCAGTAAGTCCGGACTGCTCTAATCTCTTTTAAGAAATGTGTATGTTGTTTTCCCCCTCCCCTCCCCAAACCGCGCCCCCCCCATGATGGATTCCTCCACCTTGTTGTATTACCACAGTTCAAATTCAGTTGAGATTCTTTCATTGCAAGCATCTACAAAGTATAGAGTCCAGCATCTTATTGTCAGATAAGTTCAACGGTTTCTTGGGGAGACCATCTCTGGCCTGAAGGTAGAGCTGACAGAGTATCATCCCAATCAATTAAAAGCCCTGACATTACATCAGTAACAATTTATAATGTAATGGAATTAGTTGACATGGTAT